CGCCGGGGCCATGGCTGCACAGGAGCTTCGCTGGCTCACCTACCTGCTGACTGACCTTGGAGAGCCGCCTCGTTCTCCTCCAGTGCTGTACGTAGATAACAAGGCCATGCTGGCCTTGTGTCGAGAGCAGCGCTTGGAGCACAGAACGAAGCACATTGCTCTCCGTTACTTTCTTGCTCGTGAGCTGCAGCAGCGTGGTCAGTTGCGACTTGCTTACGTGGCCTCTGAGGCCAATACTGCTGATGTGTTCACCAAGGCACTTGCGCCTTGTGATCATCAGCGCTTCTGCACTCAGCTGGGTCTTGTACCTGTCTTGCCTCACTTGCTCTCCTCTTGACCTTGCTTGTACTGTCACATATATATACCTGCTCTTGCTTGTCTAGCTCTATATATATATGTGCACTCCTGCATGTGAACTGGCCTTGTGGCCTTGTCGTTGTGCTCGGACTGTGTGGTGACTTTGTGATCCACCCTGAGCTTGCTGTGCTTTGCGTGACTGGTCTTGTGACCCCTTGTTCTCCCCCACTTTGCCTATGGGGGTGTGTCAGAACATATATATAGCTTATGCTGTTGTGTAGGCTATAGTGGGGTATCCCATAGGGGGTACAACCCAATTAGGGTTTCCTATATGTACTCACTTCATTCATAGTTCATCCATTCTTCTTGTTCAAATCTTCTCATGATTGGTTACATTTGGTTTCACTTTTTTGGAGACTCGTACCGTATGTATCAGTGCCGTCATATCGACGTGTTTGGAGCACCCGTTTTTTAAAACGTTAAATCGAGTGCTTCGGGCGTTGAGAAAAAAGACAAAAACTGCACTGTTGATTTGAGTCGACCGAAAAAAGTGCTACCAATTGTAAAGGGGTTGCTACGCAACCCAAAAACGCTGCCCTGCCATTACCGTAAATCCCTGTACAGTAGGCCCCGCCCGCCCCAGATCAGGTGCCCAAGAAAAAGAAGGCAAACTGTGCACAGTTTGCGTGCTGCACCCCACAGTTTTGCCCCTGTTGACTTGCGTTGAGCAATCCAGGTCTTGGGCTTTAACTTTGCCCTTGTACGTACCAGGGCTCTCGTTATCAGACCAAATTGGTCTGATTTTCTGATTTTCAGACCTTGATTTTGGGTTTCATCTGATTTTCAAGACGAGGATTTTTACTTCGTCTTATCCGTAAGATTACGAAATTTAGTTCATCTGATTTTTCAGAGCAAGCCTAATACTTAGTCTGAAATTTCAGATAGCGGGTTGCAATTCGTCTGATACCGAACCCCCTCCCCCCCCCCCCCCCGATCCCTCGCTTCTCTAAGCCCCCTTTCGATGCCCTCGCTCAGGGCCTCTGATTTCAGGAATTTTACCCTGATTTCCTGAAGTTTGACCCCAGTTTTTTATTGTGACCCTGATCTATCAGCCTTTTTCTTTTTACAACCCTGATGAATCAGTGTTTTATGTTTCCAAGGACTGATTTTCCAGTGTTTCCTGTTTGACGACACTGACGAGTCAGTGTTGTATCGGAGACGACCCTGAAACCGAAAACTCCGCGATTCTCGCTTTTTTGCGCGCCATCATCATTCATGTACCCACCCTGCACCGACGCCACCATGCGGCTCGCCCAGATACAGCTGAAGGGGTAATTTCGTGCTGGGTTGGCAAAACGGCGCAAAGAGATTGGCTGTCCAAGCTGATCCAAACGGCGCAAAGAGATTCATTTTTTTTAAGTTATTTTAATTGTGGCTGTAGTTTCACTGATCAGTGTTTTCTTACAAGGCACCCTGTTTGATCAGTGTTTCGTTTTCAACAACCCTGAGAAATCAGTGTTTCTCCACAGGCAACCCTGATGATCAGTGTTACAGCCCCAAGGGACCCTGAGTGCTCAGGGTCACCCAAAACGAATCTGAGGCCCTGCCCTCGCTCCTCTTCCAGGCCTAGTCCAGACCTTCTCCCCCTTCCCCCCAGCCTTAGGTCCCCTCCCCAGGTCCCCTCCCCATGCCCCTCGTGAAGTCTCGCAACAGCACAGCCCCCCCCTCTCTTCTCGCGTCCCTCCACCCAACCTGATCCCTCGCAGCACCTCAATGCCACGTGCATGCCCCTCAACAGCCACACGCCTGTCAGCTAGCGAGCTGTCAGCGCCGCGCCAGGGGCGCGTTCATTAACAAAAACAAGTGTGATTATGCTAGACAAGGGTGTTAGCTGAATCAGACTATGCGAATTAAATAGTCTGAAAAATCAGACTAAGCTCCAACATTCGTCTGGAAAATCAGACCAGAAAAATATGCCCGTCTGATCGTCAGACGGAACGATTTTTTAGGGTACATTCCGCTGTGGACACATGTCCCAATCGATGTGTCCCAATCGAGTGTACCGCTCCGAACCGAACTAAACCAGAGACGCGAAAATTTCGAAACTAGGGTGCAATTTGGTGTAGTACGATGCAGTGCGGTAGAAACGATTGGGACACATTGATAGGGACATGTGTCCACAGCGGAATGTACCCTTACTTTGGTGTTTTCAGACAGGCCCAAATCCTAGCAAGAGCCCTGGTACGTACCCTAATTCTCCTTCGTGGAGCTTTCAGCTATGAATGAATAAACAACTAAACTACGTTATGGTGCCACTTAGAAGAACACAGCTGGCTCTCTAAACTCTGGCCGATCAATGTTGCAGTGATTGCAAGGATACGCACAATCGACTGATTTGGCTTCAGCCCCATCATTATCATCTTCGTGAAGCCAACGAGTGAAGGCCTGAGCCAGTGTCTGCAGAAGAAACCCACCACAATCAGTCAGCTGGCACGTGGCAATAAATACAAACGGAAGATTGACTCACATGATTGGCTACAGTTATTTGCGACCAGAGGTCACTGTGGCACGTGGCACAGTGGGCGAAGCAGGGGTCTACGTATTTTTGAGGCACACCAACAAGAGACTCACATGATTGGAAACAGTTAACTGGGACCAGAGGTCATTGTGGTACGTGGCGCAGTGGGCGAAGCAGGAGTAGAAGAACGCCCCGTGAGGGTCACTTGCTGCTAGGAAGGGCTGCCATGCCTCAAGAAGCGCCTGGCGGAAATCTGGAGTTTATAGCAGAGAATGGGTGTAGCGAGTGTGGAGAGTGGATGTGGCAAGAGTGGAAAAGTGGGTGCGACAAGCACAGGATTAGCTTGCACTCGCAGTGTCGCACACACCTTGAATGATGGTCAGCTGAGAAGCTGAGCATGAGCGCACTCGATACAGGCAGTTTCGTAGCAGGTCACCAGAAGGGTCCGCATCCTCATTGGCTAGCAGGGCTAGTAGCTGTGGCCGAGGGATGGCAGAGGGATGGCAGAGGGATGTGGGTGCATCCATAGACAGAGTTAAGAGACGACGATGAAAAAGGAGGAAGTTCAGGAGAGGAAAGAAAAGGTGAGAGGAAGTGAAAGAGGCAGGTTAGAGGACTAGGGGTTGTGTGCAGTGGGGGGTGTGGAATGGAGGGAGACGCGTTGCCTCGGCATTGGTAGCGTAGGGGGAAGTGGGGCATGCATGGCAGACGAGTGGGACATGTATGGCAGAGCAGCGGGGCATGTATGGCAATCCACTGGCAGTGTTGCAAGGGATAGTAAAGGAGGGAAACCAGCTACGGTTGGGTAAAAAGTGAAGAGAAAGGATGGGAGTGAGGTTGGGTGGGTTGGAGGGCGGTGGGAGCATACATTCCAGGAGTCGTAGTTGCTGTTGACCATGAACACTCTGCTGCTCACATACGCCATGGCGTGGCGAGCAAACATGCACTGTAGCGCACATGCACACACACACACACACACACACACACACACCCACACCCACCCACACCCACCCACGCACACATGCACACACACACGCATGCACGCATGCATGCAGACGCGCGCGCCATACACACACACACAACAGAAGAATATCAAATCAACAGTGAGCCAATAAGCACTGCACACAGGATCTTATTGACGAAAACAATTACGCTCAGAGCTGCGATCGGTAAGGCAGCACATGACCACTGCTTGGAGTTGTTAGAATTGTTTCACCACACCAGTGAGTACTGCAGCAGTGCAATCCACTTTCAATATGCCCAAACCCCCTGCTGTACCCGTGCTCTGCATTTCGAAGCAACTCAAAAGGACGAACTCACCTTTCCTGAGATACCGTAATGCACCATGCTCACCTCTTACTGCCACTGCTCACCTCTTACTGCACACATGGTCTCTCACCTCCTCCCACATGTGAGACACATGCTCTCTCACCTCGTACTGCAGGTGCAGTGGGCGGGCGTTGATGCAGTGCTCACTCACCCCCCCTGCCATGTGCTGCACCACACCACACCGCACCAAAGCCCACCCCCAACTCCACGTTAACAACCATTGTTCCCATGCACACACGGAGCATGGGGCTATGGCAGAGAGAGGCGAGGCGGGGGAGGGGGGCCAAGGGTTTCGAGCAGACAGCGTCGAGAGAGGGGGCATACACTGAAGACTGGCGTCGGCTAAAGACACTGTTTAAATGCCCAAACGAGGATCATCGAGGGATGAAGGCGAGAAAGCTGTCAAACAGAGTGATGCGAAGATGGACACTTGCTGGTGTGAGAGGGCAAGAGGTTGCGAGCGGGGGCAGAAGGCTGTGAGGAAGCAGAAGGGTGCGAGGGGAAAAGACGGGTGCGAGGGAATCAGAAGGGTTTGAGGGAAGCAGAAGGGTGTGTGGCAGGGAATGACATGGAATTGGAAGACAGCCTGAAAGAGATCCCTCGCTGTTGACTTCCCACCCAAGTCCTGCCTGGAGGGGGCGGACACGGGGGAGAGTGGAACGAAGAGGGCAGGCGTAAATGAGATGCCACCGACCATCATTCAAAACCCTCTAACATTTATAATCACATGAGCAACCCAGGTGTGAAACCCTCTAGGAAAGTACTCCAATAGAATGATTAGATTGAACCTTTCTCAGTGTATTGTTTGTAACCGCGGAGGTGGGGAGGCGCATGTGAGTGGCAGAGAGGGGGGCAAATGTCCAGGGATATGGCGGCATCTGGCAGGCAGGCGAAGGCAGAGGGGGTGAGGGCGGGGCGGATGTGGTCGCAGTGCAGAGGGAGAAGAAGCGGGGGGTGGAGGGGGGGGTTGTGCACGTGGGTGTGTGGGTGTGTGTAGGGGCGCGTGGGTGTGTGGGTGTGTGGGTGTGTGGGTGTGTGGGTGTGTGGGTGTGTGGGTGTGTGCGTGTGTGGGTGTGTGGGTGTGTGTAGGGGCGCGTGGGTGTGTGGGTGTGTGGGTGTGTGGGTGTGTGGGTGTGTGGGTGTGTGGGTGTGTGGGTGTGTGCGTGTGTGGGTGTGCGGGTGTGTGTAGGGGCGCGTGGGTGTGTGGGTGTGTGGGTGTGTGGGTGTGTGGGTGTGTGCGTGTGTGGGTGTGTGGGTGTGTGTAGGGGCGCGTGGGTGTGTGGGTGTGTGGGTGTGTGGGTGTGTGGGTGTGTGGGTGTGTGTAGGGGCACGTGGGTGTGTGGGTGTGTGGGTGTGTGGGTGTGTGGGTGTGTGGGTGTGTGGGTGTGTGTAGGGGCGCGTGGGTGTGTGGGTGTGTGGGTGTGTGGGTGTGTGGGTGTGTGGGTGTGTGGGTGTGTGCGTGTGTGGGTGTGTGGGTGTGTGTAGGGGCGCGTGGGTGTGTGGGTGTGTGGGTGTGTGGGTGTGTGGGTGTGTGTCACGAGACGAACTTAGCTAGGAACGGGTTTAACTAAGGGCCTAGGCTTAGTAGCCTAGGCCAAGCGGGTGTCGAGGGAGTTGTGCCAAGAGAGAATCGAGAATGTGTGACTTCACTATAGGTTTGCAAGAACATATAGCAAAGAAACAAAGAGGTGCACCACCACAACAAAGAAACATAACTACACTAAAGCTAAAGCTACAGGCAGTTATAAACATATATAAATATATATCGCGACACACCCCCTTAACTGCCTGCAGCACATAGCTAGAGCAAGTCACACCCCCTGAAGGGGCAGGTGCGGTGGGAGACGGCAGAGGGGTACGTGAGGAGGAGGAGGCAAGAGGAAGAGAGGAGAGGAGAATAGATAAGAACACAGGAGGAGGTGAGTGGGGGATGAGGAGAGGAGGTGGGGGGTGGCCGCAGCGTCCCCTCTTACTAACCCCCTTTTACGAAAGGGGGGGTTGAGGTGGGGATGAGGAGAAGAGGTGGGGGGGTGGCCGCAGCGTCCCCTCTTACTAACCCCCACATCCCCACCCCCAACCAACCACCCGCCCTCAACCTCACCCCCCATTTCAGTCGCCCCCTGGAACCGCACTCCCTCCACCCCTGTCTTCCTCCATACCTCTCCCAACCCACGATGGTCCCTGTACAGTCTTTCACAGGTGGGCTGCTGGGCACAGGTGGGGCTGCTGGTCACAGGTGGGGCTGCTGGTCACAGGTGGGGCTGCTGGTCACAGGTGGGGCTGCTGGTCACAGGTGGGGCTGCTGGTCACAGGTGGGGCTGCTGGTCACAGGTAGGGCTGCTGGTCACAGGTGGGGCTGCTGGTCACAGGTGGGGCTGCTGGTCACAGGTGGGGCTGCTGGTCACAGGTGGGGCTGCTGGTCATAGGTGGGGCTGCTGGTCACAGGTGGGGCTGCTGGTCACAGGTGGGGCTGCTGGTCACAGGTGGGGTTGCTGGTGCTGGTGCTGGCGGCTGGCGCTGGTGCTGGTTCCTGGTGCTGGCAGCTGGCACTGGGGCTGGTTCCTGATGCTGGCGGCTGGCGCTGGGGCTGGTTCCTGGTGCTGGCGGCTGGCGCTGGTGCTGGTTCCTGGTGCTGGCGGCTGGCACTGGGGCTGGTTCCTGGTGCTGGCGGCCGGCGCTGGGGCTGGTTCCTGGTGCTGGCGACTGTCGCTGGGGCTGGTTCCTGGTGCTGGCGGCTGGCGCTGGGGCTGGTTCCTGGTGCTGGCGGCTAGCGCTGGGGCTGGTTCCTGGTGCTGGCGGCTGGCGCTGGGGCTGGTTCCTGGTGCTGGCGGCTGGCGCTGGGGCTGGTTCCTGGTGCTGGCGGCTGGCGCTGGTGCTGGTTCCTGGTGCTGGCGGCTGGCGCTGGTGCTGTTCCGCCACCACTCCCTTCCCCTCCTCTCTCTCCTTTCCACAGCGTCCCACCGCCACTCCCTTCCCCTCCTCCCTCTCCTCCCCATGGCGACCGCCGCTGCACACGCAAACAGTCGCGACGGGGGGGGGGGGGGGTGACGGGCAGGGGGCGGGGGGAATGCGACGGGCAGAGCGGGCGAATGAGCGGCTGGGGCGATCGCCAGTGCTCTGGCGATCGTCGCTGGCGTTCCCCCGTCACTCCTATCCCCTCTTCCCTCTCGCCCCCACAGAGTTCCGCCGCCACTCCCATCCCTTCTTCCCTCTCCCCCCCACAGCGACCGCCGGTGCGACGGGCGAGGTGCAAGGTGGCGCTGGCTGCAGTCGATGGCGCAAACGCGATCGCGGGCCGCTGGCGACTTCGCTGGCGACTTCGCTGGCGGGTCGCTGGCGGCGGGTCCGCTGGCGTTCGCCATAGCGTCCGCCGCGCCCGTCGCGCTGAGAGCCGCGACGAGGCAGGCGACGGGGGGCAGCGCGAGCAGCAGGGAAAAAAAAAAGATACGCAAGGTGCGGATTTCGCGCCACTAACTGTAGCAGTCGCGAAATGTGGTGGGCCCATAAACGAAATAGGTCCTAGGACGGACCACTCTGTTACCATGTCAGGAGACGAACTTAGCTAGGAACGGGTTTAACTAAGGGCCTAGGCTTAGTAGCCTAGGCCAAGCGGGTGTCGAGGGAGTTGTGCCAAGAGAGAATCGAGAATGTGTGTCTTCACTATAGGTTTGCAAGAACATATAGCAAAGAAACAAAGAGGTGCACCACCACAACAAAGAAACATAACTACACTAAAGCTAAAGCTACAGGCAGTTATAAACATATGTAAATATATATCGCGACAGTGTGTGGGTGTGTGGGTGTGTGGGTGTGTGGGTGTGTGGGTGTGTGGGTGTGTGGATGTGTGCGTGTGTGGGTGTGTGGGTGTGTGTAGGGGCGCGTGGGTGTGTGGGTATGTGGGTGCAAGGTGCAAAAAAACGACGTTTTTTTCATTTTTTTGTCGTTATTTTCGATATCGTACCGTACCATCGTTTAAAACGGATAAAAACGATAAAACTAAATAAATAAATTTGGGTGCAAAAAAACGATCGTTTTTTTGGGTTATGGCAACGTAGCACACAGGATTGGTGGAAGTCGTGGCTTGAACCAATCACCCACACATATTCAGCCTTCCCGCACGTGCAGAGTGTGCCAGATTCCGACCTGTTGTGATCAGATTGGTGGCAGGGGATTTGTTTTGGGTTTTTTTTTTGTGTGTGTTTTTTTTGGGCCTAACAAAAAAACGACGTTTTTTTCCCAAACAGGACCGAAAAAATCGATCGTTCTTTTCAATCGTTTTTTTTCGCAACCGTTTTTTTCCACCTTGTGTGGGTGTGTGGGTGTGTGGGTGTGTGCGTGTGTGGGTGTGTGGGTGTGTGTAGGGGCGCGTGGGTGTGTGGGTGTGTGGGTGTGTGGGTGTGTGGGTGTGTGGGTGTGTGTAGGGGCGCGTGGGTGTGTGGGTGTGTGGGTGTGTGGGTGTGTGGGTGTGTGGGTGTGTGGGTGTGTGTAGGGGCGCGTGGGTGTGTGGGTGTGTGGGTGTGTGGGTGTGTGGGTGTGTGGGTGTGTGGGTGTGTGGGTGTGTGTAGGGGCGCGTGGGTGTGTGGGTGTGTGGGTGTGTGGGTGTGTGGGTGTGTGGGTGTGTGGGTGTGTGCGTGTGTGGGTGTGTGGGTGTGTGTAGGGGCGCGTGGGTGTGTGGGTGTGTGGGTGTGTGGGTGTGTGGGTGTGTGGGTGTGTGGGTGTGTGGATGTGTGGTGGGAGAAAGGCACCTGTCGAGGAAGATGGCAGCATCGGGCAGGCAGGCGAAGGCAGAAGGGGGGAGGGCGGGGAAGAAGGCGGCTCTGATGTGGTCGCAGTGCAGGAGCGCTGCCAGCCCGCCGGCAGAGCACCCCGACACCACCACCTGCTGCCATGGCAGAGGGGTGCGTGGGTGTGTGGGTGTGAGGGTGTGTGGGTGTGTGGGTGTGAGGGTGTGTGGGTGTGTGGGTGTGAGGGTGTGAGGGTGTGTGGGTGTGAGGGTGTGTGGGTGTGAGGGTGTGTGGGTGTGTGGGTGTGAGGGTGTGAGGGTGTGAGGGTGTGTGGGTGTGAGGGTGTGTGGGTGTGAGGGTGTGTGGGTGTGTGGGTGTGAGGGTGTGTGGGTGTGAGGGTGTGTGGGTGTGTGGGTGTGTGGGTGTGTGGGTGTGCGGGTGTGTGGGTGTGCGGGTGTGAGGGTGTGCGGTTGGGGTTAGGCGTGCATGTGGACGTGTGTGTGTGTGTGTGTGTGTGTGTGTGTGTGTGCATGCGGGTGTGCGTGTGCATGTATGGCAAGAGAAACATGTACTCCAGGGTACGTGCGCAGAGGGGAGCTCGCCTGCTGTGCGTGGGCCAGTCGGAGGTGCAGGTGGTCAAAGATGGCGTCGCGAATGGCTCGCCCGCGAATGAAGATGCTGCCCCCCTGCTGGTGGTAGATGTTGAGATGAGTGGCAGCAGCGATGAGTGGCAGCAGCGATGAGTGGCAGCAGCGATGAGTGGCAGCAGCGATGAGTGGTGAGAGGAGAAAGAGAATGAAGATGCTGCCTCCCTGCCGGTGGAAGGAGAGATGAACGGCGAGAGGAGAAAGCGAATAAAAGAACGGGAGGGAGAGACGGCAGAAGCACAGGATGCGTCACCGGCGGGTTGCGTGAACGGATGGATTCATGGACACAAGGCAGGGTGGGGGTTGCTGACCTGCACTAATCCGCAATGAATCGCACTGAACCGCACTCACCTTCACTCATCTGCACTGGACCGCACTGACCTGCACTGGCACAGGGTGGGTGCGGTGACCAGCAAAGGACCCGCCATCACAGTAAGCGAGCTTCACCATGTTCCACTCGTGCATGCCTGCCGTACATGATGCGTACATGATGCGTACATGATGCGTACATGATGCGTGCATGTACATGCCATGGTGCATCCATCCATGCCATGGTGCATCCATCCATGCCATGGTGCATTCATACATGCCATGGTGCATCCATCCATGCCATGGTGCATTCATACATGCCATGGTGCATTCATACATGCCATGGTGCATCCATCCATGCCATGGTGCATTCATACATGCCATGGTGCATCCATCCATGCCATGGTGCATTCATACATGCCATGGTGCATTCATACATGCCATGGTGCATCCATACATGCCATGGTGCAATCATACATGCCATGGTGCATCCATCCATGCCATGGTGCATTCATACATGCCATGGTGCATTCATACATGCCATGGTGCATCCATCCATGCCATGGTGCATCCATACATGCCATGGTGCACCCGTGCATGCCATGGTGCATCCATCCATGCCATGGTGCATTCATACATGCCATGGTGCATCCATCCATGCCATGGTGCATTCATACATGCCATGGTGCATTCATACATGCCATGGTGCATTCATACATGCCATGGTGCATCCATCCATGCCATGGTGCATTCATCCATGCCATGGTGCATTCATACATGCCATGGTGCATCCATCCATGCCATGGTGCATTCATACATGCCATGGTGCATTCATACATGCCATGGTGCATCCATCCATGCCATGGTGCATTCATACATGCCATGGTGCATTCATACATGCCATGGTGCATTCATACATGCCATGGTGCATTCATACATGCCATGGTGCATTCATACATGCCATGGTGCATCCATACATGCCATGGTGCATCCATCCATGCCATGGTGCATTCATACATGCCATGGTGCATTCATACATGCCATGGTGCATCCATACATGCCATGGTGCAATCATACATGCCATGGTGCATCCATCCATGCCATGGTGCATTCATACATGCCATGGTGCATTCATACATGCCATGGTGCATCCATCCATGCCATGGTGCATCCATACATGCCATGGTGCACCCGTGCATGCCATGGTGCATCCATCCATGCCATGGTGCATTCATACATGCCATGGTGCATCCATCCATGCCATGGTGCATCCATACATGCCATGGTGCACCCGTGCATGCCATGGGGTTCATGATTGATCCGTGCACATGAATGGAGTGGGTGCAGAAAGGGGTTGAGCTGGGTGCCTCAAATGCATGCGAGGCGGGAACAGCAACATGCGCGACGCGAGAGGTGGGCGAGGCAGAAGAGGTCAAGGTGAAGACATGAGTGGGTTTGGTATATGTGAAGGTAGGAACAGCGCATGCTAACGGTTGTAAACCAGGGAAGGAATCTATTGGTAGTGGCTGGCACCTGGGGTGGTGGGCGCTGGGGATGTGGACGGCGGCACAGGGTCAATGAGCGGCACATGCACAGGGTGGCGGAGCAGTGCACCTGGGTTGATGGTCGGGTCGTCACTGAACACGCCCTCAGCGTCAGCAGTGGCGGGCAGCAGGCGGGACGACCCCAGCGCTGTGAGGCTGCGCTGCCGACACTCCTCCTCACTGCTGCACCACGCCCCGCCCTGTCGCCCCCCTCCACGCCCATCCCTCCCCCCCACACTCCACGCCCATCCCTCCCCCCCACACTCCACGCCCATGCCCCCCCACTCCCCACATGTACGCATAAGCAAGCACGAGAGGGAAGTTGGAGTGACTTGAAGGCGGGATGATTTGAACACAACCAACGTATCCAGAAGATCAAATCTCGTTTGAAGTGCATTGCATACAGTGCCGTGAACTCCCACCACGGCAGACGCAGCAGGCATGGCATGGTCAGCAGCAGTTGGGAAGGGGCAGCGGAAAAGCGAGGGAGGGGAGACATTGGAGGGGAGAGAGAGGGAGGGAGGAGAGCTGTCTACAGAGAGGGAGGCCAGCGATGGGCCGTGTCCTTACAGAGAGCACAAGCGGTGAGCTTCCTCACCAAACTCAACCTTGCGGCCCAGGGCGAGAACCCGCCCGTGGGAGGAGCGCAGGGGGTACTGAACCCGCCTGTGGGAGGAGCGCAGGGGGTACTGAACCCGGGGGATTGCTTTGCAACCCTCGAGCCCCCTCATCACAGTTTCTAGGTGACAAGGTAGGAACCACTTGTGAGCACAAGCGGTGAGCTTCCTCATTAGATTCACCAACCTTTGCATGCTTGTACTCTGGCCTATATCAATGAAGGACCATTTGAAGAGAGCTGGAAGAGAGGGGACGAGAGGGAGATAAAGTGGGCGGAGTGCAGAGGCGGGGAGAGGGAGAGAAGGAGGAGGAGAGAGGGGGAAAGAGAGGGGCACCTGGAAGTGGAAGAACCATTTATTGGCGCCGCCTGCATGGCCCTGGCGGAAGTAGTAGGCCGGCGGTGACCCGTCCAAACACACTGCGGGGCAGGCAGCGCACAAAGCAGAAGGGGAGTGGGTGGCGCACAGGGGGGTGTGTGAGGGGAGGATAGTGCAGGGTGTGTGAGGGGAGGATAGTGCAGGGTGTGTGAGGGGAGGATAGTGCAGGGTGTGTGAGGGGAGGATAGTGCAGGGTGTGTGAGGGGAGAGGGGCCGCACAGGGGGGTGTGTGAGGGGAGGATAGTGCAGGGTGTGTGAGGGGAGGATAGTGCAGGGTGTGTGAGGGGAAAGTGCGGTGCACCTCACACGCCATGCACCTCACACGCCATGCACCTCACACGCACGGCATGCAGCAGTGGGAGCGCAAGCGAGTGTCTCACCAGCCCCCACTGCCACTGCCCCGTGCACCACCACCAGCCTCAGTGGCCTCGCCACCCCTCCTCCTCTTGCTGCTTCCGCCGCCGCCGCCGCTGCCGCTGCTGCTGCTACCGCCCGCGCTCGGACTTCCTCCTTCGCGGTGCTCTCTGCCGCATTCGCCACGCCCCCACCGCCACCAATCTCGTCGCCCACGTTCTCTCTGCGAACATTCTCTCCCCCCCCATTTCCGCCAGAAATCTCTCCGCCCGCATTCTCGCCGCCACCAATCTCACGCATAGCTTCCGCCCGTTCAGCTGTCACCGCAATCTCCCCTCTCTCCGCCCCACTTTCGCCCCCGCTGCTCACCTCCCCCTCCCTCTCACTCCCCTTCCCTCGCACCGGTCGTTCCGCCATGCCTTGCAACCCCCCGCTCGCACCGCCGCCCGTCTCCCCATCGCGCACGCCTGCGCGCTGCTCCCCGCCTGGCGCGGGCTCCGCCAACAGCAGCGTTGGCGGGGAATGCGCGCGCCATCGGGCGAGCGCAAGGGCGAGGGCGAGCGAAATGACGAGAAGCAGTGCGGCGGGGGGACGGAGAGCCGTCGCCGAGGGACACGTGACGAGCGACTGCGATCGAACGTATCGCACATGGTGTCGCATTGCATCGCAGAGCGGTTCAGGCAAGCATGCCGATGCTTGAGTGTGGTGTCTTGTGTTACAGACCTCACACTGTGAGGCTCACAGGTGCAAAATGCGCCTGGGTGTCATACGCGTTAGAGAACGATGGTTTAGATACAGTTATTGACTCCATGTATTGTAGTTCAAGAACGTATGACTCGTTTTGGACATCGGGAGTGAGAACTTTTCAAGCAAAAAATATATTTCCACACCACCTCTCCTGCCTCACATCCCAACTCCCCCTCCATCCCTTCCCCCTTTGGCCCCCTTCCCTTACCCCCCTCGTTCCCTTTTCCCACCCCCACCAACCCCCCGTCACAGCTTGTACAACAATGTGACGTCAGCAGCAACGCTGCCCCCGCGGATGGACATGCATGTGTTCAAGGAGGGCATCGTGCCCAAGTGGGAGGACCCGCAGTGCGAGAAGGGCGGCTCCTGGACTGTCTTCTGCCGCACCAAGGACATGTTTGACCACGTGTGGCTCAATGTGGTGAGTGTGGCTCAATGTGGTGAGTGTGGCTCAATGTGGTGAGTGTGGCTCAATGTGGTGAGTGTGGCTCAATGTGGTGAGTGTGGCTCAATGTGGTGAGTGTGGCTCAATGTGGTGAGTGTGGCTCAATGTGGTGAGTGTGGCTCAATGTGGTGAGTGTGGCTCAATGTGGTGAGTGTGGCTCAATGTGGTGAGTGTGGCTCAATGTGGTGAGTGTGGCTCAATGTGGTGAGTGTGGCTCAATGTGGTGAGTGTGGCTCAATGTGGTGAGTGTGGCTCAATGTGGTGAGTGTGGCTCAATGTGGTGAGTGTGGCTCAATGTGGTGAGTGTGGCTCAATGTGGTGAGTGTGGCTCAATGTGGTGAGTGCTGCACACGGTTGGTTCACAAGTCACCAAGCGGCTCAGCCTGGCTCGACGATGGTGTTTGTTGACTCGCTTGCGCGAGGCAGCATGCGGGTCATACGAGGTCATGTGGTGGACAAGCCGGATTCTCCTGCCACACTGGAACTGCCTCTTACGCTTTGTACTCCGCATGTGCCTCGCTTCCTCCCACCCTGGGAAAGGTGGCAGCGCTGCACCCTGACTTGCACACTAGCACAGGCCGAGCCGATGAGCTGAGCGGACGAATAAAACATTCCACTCTTTCTCACTTTGGTTACTAACCGAGGGAACCATGTGGAGGGTGAAGTCGATCCCGAGAGTCCCCAAAATGTCAAAATCTCCACTTGGCTATTTGAAGGGACTGTGTTGTGGGCATCTTCCCCGCAGTTTCTGTAGAATAAGCTTCTTACTGGATAAGCCCACTCCCTTACCCACCAACAGCTGTGCCCCACTCCTATTCTCCCTCTGTGTTGCTCGCTGTGTGTGTGGCTGTGCATCCCCCCCCCCTGGTGCAGCTATTGGCGCTGATAGGCGAGCAATTCACAGAGGCGAGTGACATCTGTGGTGTGGTGGCCAACGCTCGGCCCAACAAGGACCGGGTGGTGCTGTGGACCAAGACTGCGAGCAACGAGGCAGTGCAGGTGGGTGGCAGTGGTCAATTGAGGTCCATTCATTGGAGGGCTGGGGCCACTGCAGCAACGCTGAGGAGCTCCCAGCAGCAACGCCGTTATTGCGATCCCAACAGCTCTGAAAGGCGTGCTGGAGAGCAGCCACGCTGCGCTGCCGGTGGCGGCAGTGGACCTCCAGCAGTGTGCAGCTGCGGGCCGCAGCCACGCCAGGAGGGCTCGCTGTACCATCGCCAGCAACATCCCCCTCTCGTGCCCTGGTGGTGAGGCCATGCCCTCGTGCCTCTGCTGACGGAATCCTTCTGTGTTGCTGAGCTTAGCCTCTCACTCTCACTCTCCCCCTCCCTTCTATCTCTTGCAGGTGAGCATTGGGCGGCAGCTCAAGGAGATCAGTGGCATTTCAGAAAAGATTTCATACTCCTCCTTTGTAAGACCCCACCTGGCCCCACACATTCTCACTTCCCGAGTCTTCTCACGAGCACCTTAACCTGAAACCTTGTCCGATGCCTTTCTTCCAGTTGACTCCTTCCGTCCTTCTCTTTGCTTGCTGTTGCTCGCCATGAGGCTCGTGAACCATTCATGTGCCTTTTGCATGCCCTCTCGTTCATCTGCCCTTCAACCTGCTTCACACCACAGCCTGCGTCACACAAAGCCACAGCGTCACTCAGCATCGCATTGTCGCATTTCCTTCATCTCTCCTCGTCCCTCATTACTGCACTGTGTCATATCACATCCCCCATCTGCGCTCTGTTCATATTGTTCCTGCATTCTGGTCATTTTCAGAACGATCAGAAGTTTTCGTCGAAAGCCAGCCAGGGCTATGTTGCTTGATGCACCACTGTGCCACCGACCACAATCGTTTAAAGCTCGCGGCCCAAATTGCGGAGCGAGCGGGGCAAGATTACTATTCTTGCACACTTCGCTGGTTTTGTGCTGTTTCTTCTGTGTGAAGCAATCTGATTGGTTACGGTGGGTTTAGATGCAACTTGATTGGTTGCAGAAGGTTTGGAAGCAATCTGATTGGTCACAGTGCAAGTTTCACAACTCTACAACTTGGGACTCTCGGTCCCCAAACACACGGTGGCCCCAGGACTTCGCGTTCACCAACCCCACCCTCAGCACCCAACCTTGCACAAGATTACTAATCTTGTGCAATTTGGGCCTTGAGCTTTAAGATAGCAATGCTGCATTGCATGTTGACATACCGTAGTCGCTGCTGCTGCACTCTACGAGCAGGTTTTGTTTATGTTTTTTGCGAGGCCAAGGCCAAGGGTCCTTCCTTATTCATGATATGGGTCAATATTTTAAATTATTAGTATTTAAGTTCATACGGAAATCTCATACCCCCCTGCATAAAATACCTCCTGTAAAGAGTCCTATGCATTGGAATAAGTAAACAAGATTCGACGTTTACGTCGGAAGGGTTGCGTAGAGTTGTATTCCGTGTGTTAGAAACATTATGATGGAGTATACTACATTTATATTTTACTTATAGATGCAATTCACTAAGTTTTTCATTTTTACTTATCATGGAAACGGGACAGGCTCGATAATTCACTATCATGGAAAAGTCATAATTCTCTATATGTTTCTTCCCGCCAATTTGTTTTGAGTGTAGATTAGTATGGAACAATATAGACATTGCTGTTCTTTTTGTGACTGTATTAAAACGAATAGTTTTCACCAACAATTTATTGTTGTATTCTGTGTTTTATGTTGGCGACAACTCTAGCTGATGTGTCGGTGCGCATGTGTTTTCACGTGACACTAGCTTCCAGATCGAATGTGTGCGTGTTTTGTACATACTCCTTGTGCCAAGTGCTGAGGTCTTGCAATTTCAGTGCCTCGTTATGCGCTGTCAGAAATTTCTCGCCAGCTCTACAACAACGCCAACGAGTTCCTGTACCGTCCCTTTCACAATTGTACATACTCTTTTCTTGGTTCTTGTTCTTGGTTTCTCTCGACAAGCACCTGCTCTGCTCTCTCTTCTTTTCCTCCCACCCCAATTTCTTCTCCAACCCAACCCATCCTACCGACTCGCGACTCCCTACCTACTATCCCTCCTAACACCCCGCCGTCGCCTCTCCCTCCCACCCAGCCGTCGCCTCTCCCTCCTCCCCGCCGCCGCCTCTCCCTCCTCCCCTCCGTCGCCTCTCCCTCCTCCCCGCCGTCGCCTCTCCCTCCTCCCCGCCGTCGCCTCTCCCTCCTCCCCGCCGCCGCCTCTCCCTCCTCCCCGCCGTCGCCTCTCCCTCCTCCCCGCCGTCGCCTCTCCCTCCTCCCCGCCGCCGCCTCTCCCTCCTCCCCGCCGTCGCCTCTCCCTCCTCCCCGCCGTCGCCTCTCCCTCCTCCCCGCCGCCGCCTCTCCCTCCTCCCCGCCGTCGCCTCTCCCTCCTCCCCGCCGTCGCCTCTCCCTCCTCTCCGCCGTCGCCTCTCCCTCCTCTCCGCCGTCGCCTCTCCCTCCTTTCCGCCGTCGCCTCTCCCACCTCTCCGCCGTCGCCTCTCCTTCCCTCCCCGCCGTCGCCTCTCCTTCCCTCCCCGCCGTCGCCTCCGGCGACAAGTGCACGGGCGCAAGCGCGGGTTGGTGCGTGCGCGCGGGTTGGTGCGCGAGCGCGGGGTTGGTGCGCGGAGCGCGGGTTGGTGCGCGGAGCACGGGTTGGTGCGCGGAGCGCGGGTTGGTGCGCCAGCGCATGTTGTTTTCTGAGCCACCGTGGATATTGGGTGCGTTCCCGGTCCTTTCATCCACCCTTCCCCCTCTGTTTTTTTCTCTCTTTCCTTTTTGCTTCTTCGTAAATTGTGTGTGCTGATTGGTCTCTTCTTGCATTGCAATCTCATTTGAAACGGATCGCGAGGGAGTGTGTGTGCACGTGAGCGAACGCGCGGGAGTGAGCGCGTGAGAGTGCGCGCGAGAGAGCGCGCGAGAGAGCGTGTGAGAGAGCGCACGAGAGAGCGCGTGAGGGAGCGCATGAGGGAACGCTTGAGAGAGCGCGTGAGGGAGCGCGTGAGAGAGCGCGTGAGAGAGCGCGTGAGAGAGCGCGAGAGAGAGCGTGTGAGAGAGCGCGTGAGAGAGCGCGTGAGAGAGCGCGTGAGAGAGCGCGTGAGAGAGCGCATGAGAGAGCGCGTGAGAGAGCGTTTGAGAGAGCGCGTGAGAGAGCGCGTGAGGGAGCGCATGAGGGAACGCTTGAGAGAGCGCGTGAGGGAGCGCGTGAGAGAGCGCGTGAGACAGCGCGTGAGAGAGCGCGAGAGAGAGCGTGTGAGAGAGCGCGTGAGAGAGCGCGTGAGAGAGCGTGAGAGAGCGCGTGAGAGAGCGCGTGAGAGAGCGTTTGAGAGAGCGCGTGAGAGAGCGCGTGAGAGAGTGCATGAGAGAGTGCGTGATTGTGCGCGTGAGAGTGCGCGTGAGAGAGCGTGTGAGAGAGCGCGTGAGAGAGCGCGTGAGAGTGCGCGTGAGAGAGCGCGTAAGGGTGCGCGTTAGTGAGCGCGTGAGGGCACACGTGAGAGAGCGCATGAGAGCGCGTGAGAGCGCGTAAGAGAGCGCGTGGCAGAGCGTGTGGGAGAGCACGTGAGAGAGCGCGTGAGAGAGCGCGTGAGGGAGCGCGTGAGTGAGGGCGTGAGTGAGGGCGTGACTGTGTGCGTGAGAGAGCGTGTGAGAGAGCGCGTGAGAGAGCGCGTGAGAGAGCGCATGAGAGAGCGCGTGAGGGAGCGCGTGAGGGAACGCTTGAGAGAGCGCGTGAGAGAGCGCGTGAGAGAGCGCGATAGATACGAGTGTGAGAGCGCGTGAGAGAGCGCGTGAGAGAGCGCGTGAGAGAGCGCGTGAGGGAGCGCATGAGGGAACGCTTGAGAGAGCGCGTGAGGGAGCGCGTGAGAGAGCGCGTGAGAGAGCGCGTGAGAGAGCGCGAGAGAGAGCGTGTGAGAGAGCGCGTGAGAGAGCGCGTGAGAGAGCGTGAGAGAGCGCGTGAGAGAGCGCGTGAGAGAGCGTTTGAGAGAGCGCGTGAGAGAGCGCGTGAGGGAGCGCGTGAGACAGTGCATGAGAGAGTGCGTGATTGTGCGCGTGAGAGAGCGCGTGAGTGAGCGCGTAAGGGTGCGCGTTAGTGAGCGCGTGAGGGCACACGTGAGAGAGCGCATGAGAGAGCGCGTGAGGTCGCGTAAGAGAGCGCGTGGCAGAGCGTGTGGGAGAGCACGTGAGAGAGCGCGTGAGAGAGCGTATGAGAGAGCGCGTGAGTGAGGGCGTGAGTGAGGGCGTGAGTGTGTGCGTGAGAGAGCGTGTGAGAGCGCGCGCGAGAGAGCGCGTGAGAGAGCGCATGAGAGAACGCTTGAGGGAGCGCGTGAGGGAACGCTTGAGAGAGCGCGTGAGAGAGCGCGTGAGAGAGCGCGATAGAGAACGAGTGTGAGAGCGCGTGAGAGAGCGCGTGAGAGAGCGCGTGAGAGAGCGCGTGAGAGAGCGTGTGAGAGAGCGCGTGAGAGAGCACGCGAGAGAACGCATGATAGAGCGCGTGAGAGAGCGCTTGAGAGAGCGCGTGAGAGAGGCATGGGAGAGCGTGTGGGAGAGCACGTGAGAGAGTGTGAGAGAGCGCATGAGTCTGCGCGTGAGTGAGGGCGTGAGTGTGCGCGTGGGAGAGCGTGTGAGAGAGCGCGTGAGAGAGCGCGTGTGAGAGCGCGTGAGAGAGCGCGCGAGAGAACGCATGAGAGAGCGCGTGAGAGAGCGCGTGAGAGTGGCATGGGAGAGCGTGTGGGAGAGCACGTGAGAGAGTGTGAGAGAGCGCATGAGTGTGCGCGTGAGTGAGGGCGTGAGTGCGCGCGTGGGAGAGCGTGTGAAAGAGCGCGTGAGAGAGCGCGTGAGAGAGCGCATGAGAGAGCGAGTGAGAGAGCGCGTGAGAGAGCGCGTGAGAGAGCGCGAGAGAGAGCGCGAGAGAGAGCGCGTGAGAGAGCGCGTGAGGGAGCGCGTGAGAGAGCGCGTGATAGAGCGCGTGAGAGAGCGCGTGAGAGAGCGCGTGGGAGAACGCGTGCGAGAGGGCGTGAGAGAGCGTGTGAGGGAGCGCGTGAGAGAGTGCGAGAGAGAGCGCGTGAGAGAGCGCGTGAGAGAGCGCGTGAGAGAGCGCGTGACAGAGCGCGTGAGAGAGCGCGCGAGGGAGCGCGCGAGAGAGCGCGTGAGAGAGCGCATGGGGGAGCGAGTGAGGGAGCGCGTGGGAAAGCGCGTGAAAGAGCGCATGAGAGTGCGCGCGAGAGAGTGCGCGAGAGAGCGCGCGAGTGTGCGCGTGAGTGTGTGCGTGAGAGTGCGCGTGAGTGCGTGAGAGTGCGCGTGAGAGCGCGTGAGGGAGCGCGCGAGGGAGCGCGTGAGAGAGCGCGTGAGAGAGCGCGTGAGGGAGCGAGTGAGGGAGCGAGTGAGAGAGCGCGTGAGAGAGCGCGTGAGAGAGCGCATGAGAGAGCGTGTGCGAGAGCGTGTGATTTTGTCTAAGAAAGTTGAGAGTATTTTTGCGAGATTTAGTACAAGAGTGAGTGCGAACGTGAGGATGAAGCTGAACGCAAGGGTGGCTGCTAGGTATTGCATCATTCCGGCGTAGTATTTGTGGTGCCACGGCTGGTACCAATTTGCATTGCTCGTCTTTGATTGATCTACATGTTTTTATTGTTCTTATGTCGTTTATGATGCATGTATGTGTGAGCTGCATTCTCTGCTTTTGTTTTCTTGTGTGCAATTCTGTGAGGTGTACTCTGTGTTTTTGCTTTCTGCAGGTGAGTTACGTTTCCTGCTTGACCTCCTCGCAGGGCACGTGAGTTACATTATATGTTTTACTGCTTTTTTGTACACATGTGGGAACATTCTCTGCATTGCCTTTTTTCTTGTGCAGGGTGTGTAATCTTCATTCTCTGGTTTTGCTTTGTACAGGGCGCGTGAGCTGCATGCTTTGATTTTGTTCGGCGGAGAAGGGAGATGAGGGAGGGGGTGGGAGGGAGTAGAGGGAGGGAGGAAAGGAGGGGTGTAGGAGGGTAAAGAGGGGATAGGCTAGTGTGTGACTCTTTGTTATGCTTGTTTGCTCTCTCATTGTATGTAAGCGTGTGTATATATATGTGTGCCAGTGCATGCGTGTGTGTGTGTGTGTGTATGTATTGTACGGTATGTGCGTGTGTGTGTGTGGTTGTGTGTGTGTCAGTTGGTTGTGATTATTTCAGGGTGGTGCTGGTATTCATCGTGTTTGCAGCTGAGGTTGTCATCGTCGTTGGCGCAGTGTGTTTTCACTGTCTCAACGACCCCATCAATCTCAGTTGCAGCATTGGTGCATATTAAGCATCCATTTTTATGTCTTCACAACTTCTTTCGTGACGTTGTGCATTTCGTGTTTGTGAGATGTGTGTGTTTCAAGGCGAGGTGTTGCAATGCATCGTGTATGCAACTAGAGGTTGTCATCGTCGTTGGTGCAGCATGTATTCGCTGTTTCAACGGCCCCATCAATCTCTATTGCTACATTGATACATTCTAACATTTCTTGTAACATCCACATCACACTTCATGATGTGGTCATTCGTAGAAGTGCTTTCGCTCATGTTGATGCCATGTTCGATCGTACCATCCGCCGTATTCATCGACGATGCTAGGACGGTCGAAAAAAAACCATGGTTTCAACATGATACGTAATCGGTTTCACTTTTAGGATATCTCATTCACGAGTGATTTTCATTCACTATTAGAGACACTCTCTTGAACTCGTGCCAAAAAGGTCGTTCAAGCGGGTGCTCTAATGTTAGATTAGGAGAGGACTTAGGAGACTAGGGTATGGGGGCTTGCATGAATGTCGAGAAGGTTGAGCAAAGAAGAGGGGTTCACTATAGAGTTGGAAGTACAAGTAGGCAAGAGCAAAGGGATAGGGTGCACCACCAACGGTTGATTCTAATAGCTAACTAATACACTAGCAAGCTGTAGACAGTTATAAGATATATAATTCAACATCTAAAAGTGCTTAAAATATCGCTCTTGAATTGATATCCCCAAAAAGTGAAACTGATTATATAGGGTTGCTACGCAACCCAAAAAGTGTTTGGAAATCTGACCATGAGATGGGACAAAATTAGTTTGATAACGAGAGCCCTTTAAGTGTGACTTGATATCCATATGCATGCTCTCGGAGAATGGATTTAGCTAGGATTCGCCTGTCAGACGTTATAGTCTTAGTGATGTGTGTCATATGGGGTACAATAGTTAGAACTTAGAGGGTTAGGTTTATGTACCCCAACCAACCTTAGTCAAACCAAACCATCCTTCTGTTCTTGACATGGTATCAGGTTAGGATCCTCTGGGATCCCGTTCCTCTCGTTTACGACCGTAGCACCCGAGCCTGTCCCGTACCCTAGTGCCCGTTACGCCCGTACTGTTCCCTAGCGCCTATCGCGCTCGTCTCTCTCGTGCCCTAGCGCCCGCAACGCCTGCCGTCGCGTCGCCCCTGCTGTCCCGTCCCGTCCCGTCGCCCCTGCTGTCCCGTCGCGTCGCCCCCTGCTGTCTCGTCGCGTCGTGTTGTCCCTGCTGTCCCGTCGCGTCGCGCTGTCCCGCCGCGTCGCGCCGTCCGTCCCGTCCCGTCCCGTCCGCGTCGCGCTTCCGTCCCGTCCCGTCGCACGCGCCCCGTGCGCCCTGCCCGTCCGTCACGCCCCGTGTGCCCGGCCCGTCCGTCGCGCCCCCGCTGCGCCTTGCCCGTCCGTCGCGCCCCGTGCGCCCTGCCCGTCCGCGCCTGTCACGCCCGTCCCTGCCAGTCGCGTCCTGTCCCGTCGCGTCGCACTATCTGTCATGCCCTACGCAGGCCCCTTTAGGCGTTTAGGGTTTCTGCAACAGCAGTTCCCACCTCTTCGTTTCCGCTATGGCGACCCCTAGGGTCCTGCGCTTTGACGCCGAGGGTAGGCCGCTTGAGTTCTCCGTCTGGCTCCTGCGTGTGCGCCGCCTTTTAGAGAGTCAGGTTCAGGCAGATGAGTCTCTGTGGGCGCACGCTTCTGGCGACCTTCCTAAGCCCGACGGTCCCGCACCTTTAGGCACTGACCCTAGCACTGCAGACAGAAACCGTTATGCCCGCCAGCGTGCTTACCTCACAGCGTGGAAGTCGCGTGACACTGCGGTCTGCATCGCCCTCAGCAGCCTCCTCCCTGAGTCTGAGGAGACCCACTTCTCTGAGGTTCGCACGGCTAGTGAGTTCCTGACTGCGATCAAGGCCCGCTACGCTACTCCCACCACTGTCTCTCTTGGTCGCCTGTTCCTTCCGTTCCTGTTTCCTGACCTCGCCTCGTTTGAGCGCACTGCTGACTTGATCACTCATCTGCGCTCGCTCGATTCTAGCTACCGCGCTGCTTGCACTGACGCACAGCTTGCACTGCTCCCTCCAGGCCCCTAGATTCGTTTTGGGACACGCTGATGGGTCAGAGTGCACCCTTCTCTAAACTCTGTCAGTCAGAGTTGCATCCAACACTTGATTTTTTAGGCTGAAAGTACAGAGTTACACTCAAATTGAAGGCAGCTTCCTTTATACTGCACCGAAAAAAACATTTCAACTATCTGACTCAGATTCTGTCACATGTGACTCTACAGCTGCCCGCTGAACTACTGGCTCCTCTACAGCTTCCTTCCCAACTCTTTGGGGCTCCCTGTGTCTTGCAGCAGGTGCTGTCACTGGCCGGCGCTTCTTATAGCTTCGCCAAATCTCTACAACCCCCGGCACGTCCAGCTCATAGTCTAGCATAGACATACACAGCAAGTCACTGAGCCTACAGTCTTTTAAACTGCCCCTCTGCCACGTCTTGATGACATTCTGTCGAGAGAATCCTCTCTCGCACTCGACGGTGCTGAGAGGCAGCACTGCAATCGCCACCCAGAGTCCGACGAGGTTGGGGTATGCTTGCTGCCAGTCAGGTGTCTTGAGGATTGCAGTCAGTCCCGTGTTGAACTTGCGCTCGCTCTTAGTAGCTCTGGCCAGGACTGGGCACAGAGTCCGCACCTCCTTCACGGCACGCTTCTTGTCAATGCCTGCAAGATAAGCCAAGGCGTGGGATTAGTAAGGGATGGGACGCCAACGGGTTTAGGGTGAATCACACTATGAACTGACCTGGCAGAATCTCGTCACAGTCGTCGGCGCGGAACAGAGTGACTAGCGACAACAGCCACTCAAGGCACTGTGCCTGCCGTGCGCTCCTCTCCCAATTCGGAGGCCACTCGTCAGGAATGAAAAGCCGCACGCCAGAAAGAGAGTTGAGGTCGCCGAGCTTAGACTGGAGCTCTTCGACGAGGCCCTCGGCAAAGTCGGTGCAGAGCGCCACACACGCGTCGTGATGGCCCGCCCCAAGATAGTTCGCCACTTTGCGCTCGTGAAGGGTGATCTTGAAGCGGTTGAGACTCCCATCCGACGACGCGCCTTCCACCACCATCTCTTGTGTCCCCTTCGGCCCATGCTTCTCGATGAAGCGATAAAGCCGCTCGTTAGGCCCGCCGCCGAAGTCGTCTCCGCAGTCTATGTACCGACTCTCCAAGAGAGACGTTGTGCGCACAATCTGCGTGTGCACCAATGGGTAGTCGAGCTGCCACATCAAAAGGAAGTTTAAATTAGAACACTGTTTCGGGTTTACAAAAACACACTAGATGTACTCAACTTTCTTACCTTCGAGAGGATGTTGAGGAGGTCCAGTACGTCCGCGAGGAACCGAAGCAGAAACTGAAACCGGTAGGACGTGACGAGCTCGTACAGCGTCTGGTCCTTCCACTCTGACAGCATCACCATGATGGCAGGGAGGACCTCG